CCACAGTTTTACATAGGAGTATATAGGGAAATATTTAATAAGCTTCTTCTCAAGAACCACTGGGCCAGGAAAGATGAAACTCATGTGGAAGCATCTTCAGGTAGTGTAGATTCTAGTTTGTTCAAATTATGACCCGCGGGGGAAGGATGGGGCCAAAATGTCTGATCACAGTTTTACAGAGGACTTGATAGGGAAATCTTTTAAGATCATCTTCTCAAGTACTTCGAAGCCATGATAAGTGATATTTATATGGAATCATTCTCAGGTAGTGTTGATTCTAGTTTGTTCAAATTAGGACCCCCAGGGATAGGGTGGGGTCACAATGGGCGATCCAAGTTTTACATTAAATATATTTTTAAAAATCTTCTCAAGAATGGCAAAGCCATGATTAATGATACTTGTATTTATATGGAAGCATTTACGGGTAGTGTAGAATTAAGTTTGTTCAAATCCTGATTTAAATTATTTAATTCATGGCCCTCTGGGGTAGGGAGGGAAACAAAGGGGAATCAAATTCAAATTTTTATGAAGTTATATATAGGGAGAAAATGTTTTTAAAATATCTTTTAATCAAGAACAGCAAAGTCATATGCTGTATTAATATTAAAGCATTCTCAAGTAGTATTGAATTCACACCCCCTTTCTGATTTGTGCTTTTTCCTAGCCGATTTGCTCAGGTGAGCGATGTGACCCCTGGGCCTCTTATTTTTATTAGCTGACCTGAGCTGAGAGCTCAAGTGAGCTTTTCTGATCACATTTTGTTCGGCGTCCGTCCGTCTGTCCGTCTGTCTGTCTGTCTGTAAAATTTTCACATTTTCGACTTCTTCTCAAGAACCGCGGGGCCAATTTCAACCAAACTTGCCACAAAGTATCCTTGGGTGAAGGGGATTCAAGTTTATTCAAATGAAGGGCCATGCCCTCATTCAAAGGGAGATAATGATGAATTAATGAAAATTTGGTGGCATATTTTAAAAATCTTCTTCTAAAGAACCATTGTGCCAGGAAAGATTAAGCTTATGGGGAAACATCCTCAAGAAGTGTAGATTCAAATTTGTACAAATCATGACCCCTGGGGGTAGGGCGGGGCCAAAATGGCCGACCAAAGTTTTACACTGAAATATAAAGGAAAATTCTTTAAAAATCTTCTTCTCAAGAATGACAAAGCCATAATTCATCAAATTTATATGGAAGCATGCTTAGGTAGTGTAGATTCAAGTTTGTTAAAATCATGGCCCCCGGGAGTAGGGCGAGGCTAAAATGACCGACCAAAGTTTTACATAGAAATATATATAGGAAAATTCTTTAAAAATCTTCTTCCCAAGAATGACAAAGCCATAATTCATCATATTTATATGGAAGCATGCTCAGGTAGTGTAGATTCAAGTTTGTTAAAATCATGGCCCCCGGGAGTAGGGCGAGGCTAAAATGACCGACCAAAGTTTTACATAGAAATATATATAGGAAAATTCTTTAAAAATCTTCTTCCCAAGAATGACAAAGCCATAATTCATCATATTTATATGGAAGCATGCTCAGGTAGTGTAGATCCAAGTCTATTCAAATCATGACCCCCGGGGGTAGGGCGGGGCCAAAATGACCGACCAAAGTTTTACCTAGAAATATATAGGAAATTTTTTTTTAAATTTTTTTCTAAAAAATAGCAAATCCATGATTGGTCATGGGACTACTTTTGGATTTAAACTTTACAAGAAAAAGCCATTTTCTACTTTATCCTACCCTTAGTGTTCAGATGAGCAATGTGGCCCATGGGCCTCTTGTTCCATTTAAATTTAAGTTTGTTAAGTTAAAGGCAACGAGTATTCTCCATTCTGGGAGCAATATATATAAAACTACCCAAATTAACTGAAGTTTCAATCTTCCCCAAAACAACATACAATATACCTGGTAGCAGTCTTATGGTAATTTTTGTTCCAATTCTGAAAAAAAAAGATCAAAGAAGTTTTCCTTGCGAAAATCCTATCCTGATGCTGTGCGAGGTAAGGTCAAGCCAATGATATTGTTCTGTGTTTTTTAATCAAAATGTTTCGTTTATCAATTTAGTCCCTTAGTTTTATTTTTAATTATTTAATTAATGTACATGTATTTATTCATATCATTTTTATCCATATACTAGTACATGTATCTATTGATATGAAAATTATTATTTCCACAAATTATATCTGAATCTCTTAAAATATCATATATTACATTTTTTTAGGATCAAAAGTGGCAGAAGAAAATGCCTTGGTATTTGATGGATTTCAATTCCTGGGTATATAAGTAAATACTGTAGATCACTATATTTTCGCGACTTAGCTATTTGGTTTTTATTAACGAGACAGAAAAGCTGTGGTTTCTGTTGTATATAAACATTAATAACACAATTATACGCGAGAATAAAATTTTTGCGAGCAGACAGACTTGCGTATACGTAATTACGTGGAAATAAAGTTCTCGCGAATAAAAAGTGATTTACAGTATTTTTAGACGAAACACAGCAATTCAGGATCAACAGAATATCTGCAAATCCTAGTAAAGTGCAAAACATCAAAGAAATGAAAGGGGAAAACATGGAAATACTTCAAAGAAGATGTATTTTCAAGATAATATAAATGAAATATTAGATTTTTCTCCGAGAAAAGTCGCCAAGATAAGTTGATTGTTCATCTTTGAAAACAGCATGAAGGAGGCTTACTCATTCAGACACAGTCTCAGAAAAAAAATACAATGATGTTCAAAGGAGATTCCTAAAAGAAACCTGTTTCAAACATACACTGTATTAATATCGCCAGCAAATAGTAGGAAGCATACCTATGTTGATTCGAAATCTCCTGACATATAGGAAAGATCCGGATTTCCATTACAGGTTTTCGTTGAGGATTTATATTAAACGATCAATTTATTATTCATATTTACGAACGACTTTCATAAAGCATTGAATCAAAAGAAGTGAAAAAAGTGTTTCAACAGCATTGTAATGAAAATTCTACTGTCAAGAACATTCCATCCAAAAAAAGTTGGTTGTCTCCTCTTTACACAGTTTCAAATTTATCGGTCACATGCAAAGTACACTATGAGACAAATTGGGCTCTTAAAAACAAATGGGAAAACAAGTTTCACTTATAAATATTTTTGAAATTGATTTTGACATTCTTCAAACAATCTATTGGAATTCCTATGGGAACCACTTGCGCTCCGTTATTAGCAGACCTATTTTTATATTCATATGAAGTAGAATTTATGCAAAATGTAATGCATCAAAAGAAGAAAACATTTGTTGTGGCCTTCAACTCGACTTTCAGAGATATCGATGATTTATTGCCAATTAACAATTGTAATTTCTATTTATACGTCGATACGATATATCCAAGAGAGCTTGAGATAAAAGATACCAGAGAGTCTGCCACATCTGTTTCATACTTGGATATTTTACTTGAAAAAGACATTAATGGTAACCTAACAACCAAGCTATATGGTAAACATGACGACTTTAATTTTTTTATCGTTAACTCCCCTTACTTATGCAGCAATATACCTTCATCACCTGCATACGGAGTGTATATACCTCAGTTGATTCGCTACGCAAGAGCATTCTCTACGTATAAACAATTTTTCAAACGAGGTAAATTACTGACAAGAAAGTTGATGAAACAAAAATAACAGCAGTCTCGTTGAAAGTCATCAGTTCTATGGTCGACACAATGACCTTGTCATCAGATACAATTCATCATTGAGTCAAATGCTGTCTGACGTTTTTCACGCCAATTGTTAGTCCATTATTTATACACCGATTTGACGACGGATTTTTTTCCGTTATTTCCTGATCATGAAAAGGAGCATACGGCGTGTGAGACCGGTCAGCAGGGGGTGCTCACTCCTCCATGTCACCTGTTCCCACCTCTGATGTTTTGGAGGTCCTTGTTTGCTCTGCTCCTATTTTGTATTGTTTCATGGACTTTGATATTGAATGCTGTTTGTTATCTCCATATCCTTCTTTCAATGATGTAATAGAAGTTTTAGAAAAAATGATATGGTTCTTAAATCTATTCGACTTAAATCTATTCGACATAAATACACGACCTACTGAGTATATTTTTTCAAACGGAAGATGGAACTGTACTATACCTAGTATTTGCGCAATAATACTTTGAAAACGAACGACATTCTCTTATACAAATACGCACAAAAACTGTAAACAGGTAAAAAAAATAGCAGCAAATTAACGCTTAAAGGCTAGCTATTTTTTTTACAGTAATAGAAGAGGAGGGAGAAATAGAACACACACCAGGTGGATTATTTCTTCCTGGGCGTGTGTAATAAAAATGAGCATAACTAACAAAATATATATTGTTACAAGCCTTGTCTTCTTGAACCATAACATTATGTGGATGAAATCATTCTATCTCATCACGTCCGGTTAAGGGAAAACGGAAGATTAATTCTATCACAGTTTTCCTTTTAATTTCCTCCTTCAAATCGTTCATATATTTCCAAAACCCTGAGTCTATTTTGACAAAGTTTTCAGGTCTTCCTTTTCAAAGTTCAACGTTGGATGAAATCTTCGATAGAATTCAAAATGGAAACAAAGTTTTGTTGTCAGTTGAAATATCGACACATTAAGGATATTTTACATTGATTGCTTTCTTTAAGCTTTTTATTTTCTACTATATGAACATCATCAGTAACGACGTGTTCAGCAGGACTCTTGTTGAAAGAAGAAGAGCATAGGCACTTAAAAATAAGTGGGTTTTGTTTTGTTATTCAGTTGCTAGACATCTAAATATTTTGTTCTGAATTTTAAAGATTGGTCGCAATGGTTTGGGGATATCAGTGTTTAAACTTGAAATATGGTGAATGAAAGGCTGAACTCTTTTATGAATAAGATTTGAGACGATTTGAATGTGATAATATTATAATATCAAATAGAACAACAATATAAACAAATTTATTACAAATGAATAATAACATAATTATTTATTTTTGATGCACTTATATAAATGTATACTTTAGTTCTTTACAGGCTTCTTTTCTTTTATTAGAACATATCATCATTTATTGGTACATTTATCTATTCATATAATTATATACTTTTTTTGGCCTCATAAGCATTTAGAAAACATAGAAATATTTAACGTTTATATTCATCAATCTTGTCCTTCAATGTCTCTATCTAATTTCGTTCTAAGTACAAATTTCTTTCATTCAATATCTCGCCCACATCTTTTTGTTCTTTTTCTGAAACTTTTCAAACAATGTTTCAGTTTATTCCTTAATATGAAGACACTTACAATGACAAATAAAGAAGCAAATGTTAAAATCGTTAAAATTGCAATTAAGCTACTAGATTCAACAGAGTAATCCTTTTCCCCATCTCGAGATAGTTCTCCGACTTCTGGTGCTCCTGTACTGTTGTTTTGAACTTCTGTCAAGTTAAGCTTCATAGATGTTTGTAATTGTGGAGATTGCGTAATGTTTACTTCTTCCTGACATGCGTCAACTCCAAAAAGAACTTTTCCTTTACAGAGTTTGCGTCTGTTAATAAAGGTAAAACAATTATATTAACTGTATAAAAACTCCCTTTTTCCGCGCAAAGAACGATTAAAAAAAATCAAATAAAAAAAATAATTACAAGTACCTTAAAGAAATTCCACAAGGACACATCAATACTATGATTCCTATCAGGAAAAAGACATGTCCTAACATAATATTCAATCCAACTGTCAATCCTAGAATCGCCACCTGCAAAAAGGAAAGTAAAATAAAGTCGTTAAATTACAAAAAATGCAAATATAGAAGCTGATCCAGTTGTTCAGTTTTGTTAAGCAGCCTAATTGTTGACAGGATTGTAATAAGCATTTATCCTTCTACAAAAATTGTGAAATTCATCGATCAAGGGTTAGGGGTTCGTGTGCTAGGGTGGGGCTATATACATCATATAGTGAAAACGCATTATATTATATCTTTGAAAATCTTCTCTTCTCCTGCCAGTAGGTATTAAACAAACCCATAATAGAATAGTTCTGATGAGCAAGGGTGCCTCCTTCAAAATTTTGAAATTCTGGGTATTAAACTGATAAACTAAGTGAATAATTATAACGAGGAAGGTTGTTGGGACGGTTTTTTATTTTATTATTATATATATAATAATATTGTTATTATATAATGGAAATACATTCCGTCAAAACACATCTCCATTGCTTCTTCGTAATTAAAACCCAATGAACTAATTGTATGGTCATGACTAGGAAGAGTTTCTCCTTCAAACACGTGAATTCCATGGCCCTTATGACAGGGGTTCTGGTGCTACGTGTAGAAAGGGTCTCTAAATTGATAATATACTAAAATGCAATAATTCTTTGAAAATCTTATCATCGGCTCCTGCATGTATATTAAATCGATAAAGTAAGTGTATAATCATAAGGAGGAAGGGTACCTCTTCCATAATTGTGACACCAGTCTGGAACTAGCATTGAACAAATTGGAATCTATAAGACTTTTGGATGCTTCCATATCAATACGAATAATCAGAGCTTTCCTCATGTTCCTGTTCTTAAAAAATGTTAGCCTATATATTGCTATGTAAAACTTTGATCCCATACTAACTTAACATGCTTCCATATCAATGTGTGTTATTTTTTTATTTTTTATTTTTTTAAGACTTTAAAGATCCCATTCGAGAACTTTTCAATCAAAAAGAGATATATTATTTATTATTATTATTATTATTATTGGTTTATTATTATGTATGGGTATATTTTTTGTTTTTAAAAGAAAATAAGTAACGTACGTCAGGTGCCTGTGTTTAAAATGAATATACATGTATTAATGATTAAATCTTCGGTATATTTGACATTTTCAATGCATACTTAGGTATGAATATCTACGTACGTCATTTGACTTGTTCAACTTGGAAGTTTGCCAAATCGATTGAGGAGTATGTAGATGGTGAAGGCTTTTTTTCTGGATTTGTTTATATTGAGTAATATCTATAAATAGGGGTAAGTACAAATAACAAGAAAGAATTAGAAAAAAAGAAAGATGTGACCATCATAAAATATCTTTTTGTGTACAATCAACCAAAATTATATACGTGTTGTTCCATTTGAATCGAGTTTATTTTTAGAAAGCGATATTTATAATAACATGAATAGAACCACTTTTTAAAATCAGGTAAAACAAATGACTATAGTGTTATTTCTATGTCTTTAGTAGTTATGATTACTAAGCAAAGGCGAGCATTTAGCGAATTTTTATATCATCCTGCATATATAATATTATTTTGTTGTTAGTTTTAAAAGATAAAAATAGCAAATAAAAATCCCAGTTTTACAGGCTTCTATTTTTAGATTTATTCATGCTTACTGCATGTTGATAAATTACAAACATATACATATACCAAATAAAATACAACAGAAATAAAAAGAAATGGCCAAAAATATTAAATTTAAAAAAAAGAAGAAATTAAAGTGTGCAAGTGTACATGTATACATTAATTCCAACGAAAAATCACACTGTACAGTATCAAAATTTCTGGCTGATCGTGTCTGTTTTTAATATAAATTTTTGCATTACAGTTATCTTGCACACGTAGCCCTTCAATTGCATGGATCACGCATTTTTTTTTTTTTTTTTTAGTTTTTTTATATTTCCTAAATACCGTAAAAAAAAACAAAAACAAAAAACAAAAAAAAAAAAAAAAAAAAAAAAAAAAAAAAAAAAAAAAAACAAAACAAGAACAAAAAAAAAAACATTTAATGTAATATTTATTACAAATAAATTTTAAAGTAATTTATATCAGTACGTACCCCTTTTCATGTACATGTAAACACGAAAACATGCATGTTTATATCCCTTTATCAAGAAATACACTGTACATGGATATGAATTGATTGCTGTTTAAATGCCCTCAATCGCTAGTTCCATACCTGCCTGTATTGTGAATATATCGCGCATATATCAGACAAGGAGAGCCAGTCCTCTTTTGTTTTCTCTAAATTCCTGTACACACACACAAATCTTAAAAGTATATAAATAAAAAATAGGGATAAATTAAAAAAAAATTAACAAAACAACTTTGTGAATGAAAATTAGAATTAAGTCACTGTAATCAACACGCATCGAAGTCATTTTCAGGGGGCGGATCCAGCAATTTTTGAAAGGGGGGGGTCCAGGTCGGTGCACCCAGGATGCACTCATACATAGAATAACACCACGGCCACTTCAAGTTCGTAGCTACATTTATAACAAGGGGGAGCTCGAAAATTAGTTATTAGTTGACAAGCAAAAAAAAAAAAAAAAAACAAAACAAAAAAAAAACATATATTTCTTTCAATTATTGCAAAAGCTTGAATCTACGTAAATGAGCCCCCTCCCCTCCATTTGCATACTACATGAACATTTTAAACCTTTCTCTTCATTGATAAAAAATATCTTATGCATGCTATTAAAGAATTAGCTACTTCTGAAGATGGTCCAAAAATGGTGTAGCTAAAGTTCGCTGGAATCTTTCTTGTATGTTACTTATTGTATAAATAACTATCTTACAAACAAAAAATTCTCTCTCTCTCTCTCTCTTTATGTACAAAAAAAATTAAATAGAGGGGGGCTCTAACACCCGACCTCTCCTCTGGATCCACCAATGTTTTTTTCTTAAAGATAATACACGCTAACTTTTTTCTCCGAAAATTCAAATCTCTCTCTTTCTCTCTCTCTCAATTTTTGAGTGGATTAAGATTTTAATTGTTTTGTTGTATATACATGTATAGTGTTTGGCCAAGCTGGCATAGTTTGGTGAAAATGCAACTTAAAACTCTATACATTTTTAAAAAAAAAAATTTTAGAGATGTCCTGATGTATGAAGTGTTCTTACTGCAAAGTTTCTGGGGACATTTTCAAAAGTGTATGATAACATTTTGCTTATTTAATAATTACATCATGGACTTATATACTAGCATATAGGTCCCTGATTACACATTTCCATTTAAAAAAAATGAAGAAAAAAATACCATTGTAATTTAATCTTCTGTGTAGGAGATAAGAAAATTTGCTCGTGGTTTGTATCCTTAAATATTTTATCTTGACATTCAGCGACATGTGAAAATCGGGTTCGGGATTCTTATTCAATGGATTTCCAAACACGTTGCATCAATGTCTGAGCACAGCATGAGCATAATTATTGTACAGAAACAAGGTAATCCATTGGGTTGACGAGATATTGTTCTCAAAAACAAAAATATCATCGAAAAAGACGCAGCAAAATTATTTGCGAGGTGAATTTGTTAGAAAATATGCCTGTACGGACTCTTTGATATCTTAGTAAATAAGTTATTTAAAAATTCGGGTGGATACAGGGGGCTCAGTCATTATATCGCGGTGCTTAATTTTTTTGCATAAAAAATGAAATTTCAAATTCTTAATTTAACTTCTAACAAATGATATTTATAATTCTAACTATGGACTAACTTTTTAGTTCCAAATTATTTTCCAAGCTTGCATCGTTTAATTTGTGGTCTATTTTTAAAACGGAAGTCTTAGGCAAGCGGTAAATCTAGTTTCCCGACGGTCCCGGATTTTGAATTTTTAGCGATTTCTTTTTGACCGGTGCATAGAATTTATTCAAACTCTTTAGACATATTCTCTAGGTTTAATTTCTTTAAACATGTGAAATAGATTCATTAATATATATAAAAACAAGGAAACATGCATTTTAATTACTGAATCAGCAGTATCACCTGCAAAAAAGCGGTAAATCTAGTACTTTGTTCTAAATGTTAAAGGTACTTAGACACAGATTTGAAGGGGTACTACTAAGCAGAGTAAGATAGAATACTTCACAGTACGCTAGAAAAATTATGCAATTAATATAATTAGACTGTTTATTTATGTATATACAACTTGATTAAACAGTATTATAAAATGATGTGGGAATATTTGTCTCAAATTTTTGTTTTTTTAATGATAGTTTGACAAGAAAGCAACATTAATGATTCAATGCATTATAGGTTATTAGAAATCCAGTCAGAGCGCCCCCTAATAAAACCGTCCCGGTCAAAGCGTCCCCTGATTTTGGTCAAAGCGTCCCCTTAATTTGGTCAAAGCGTCCCCTAATTTTGGTCAAAGCGCCCCTTATAGAATTTTACAGTAAAATGATGTTACAAAACCGCCCCCAAATATTGGTCAAAGCGTCCCCTGATTTTGGTGAAAGCTCTCCTAACAATATGATGTTACAAAACCGCCCCCAAATATTGGTCAAAGCGTCCCCTGATTTGGTCAAAGCGCCACTTAACATTTTTTCTTAGGAAAAATTGTCTGGGAAGCAATGGTCAAAACGTCCCCTATTTTGGTGAAAGCGTCCCCTGATTTTGGTCAAGGCGCCCCCTAATGTTTTTAACGGAATAAAACTGTTTTATATTTATAATATTATCATTGTTTGGCAGTTAATTCTATAGGGGGCGCTTTGGCCAAAATCAGGGGACATTTTAAACATTGCTTTGGGATCGACTTGAAAAATATATTAGGGGGCGCTTTGACCAAAACCAGGGGATGCTTTGATCATTTCTTGGGGACAATAAAGATTGTTTCTATAAATAAATTTTTTTTTTGTAAAAATATGTAATTGTTAGGGGGCGCTTTGATCAAAATCAGGGGACACTTTGACCAAAATCAGGGGGCGCTTTGACTAAAATCAGGGGATGCTTTGATAAAAGTTAGGGGACACTTTGACCGGGACGTTTTTATTAGGGGGCGCTTTGACTGGCTCCCGGTTATTAACACCCCAATCTCAATTACATTTTTGGTTCAGACTTATTAATTTCAACTTAATATTATTTAATAAAAATTAAATTAATTGTTTTACGTAAAATATAATATTTTTCAGTTTTCATATTAACAATGAAACATTTTCAATTTATATTAGATATTTACCGTAACATGAAATTAAAAATTAAATTCAATAGCTTATAAATTAAGAAAAACATACAAATTTTCCTTGAAATATATTTTTATTATGTTAAACTTATGTAGAAAAACATACAAAACGTAGTTTAATTGCATTAAATTAAAAATTTATTAGCGTACTCTAAAGTACTCTATGTGTCTATCGTATTAGCCTACTCTGTTTAGTAGGACGGGATTTGAAGTTATTATTTTCTCTATAATATTTCGACTTATATATTTTAATAGCATTTCACACAAAAATTAATTAAAAATCTTATTTCATATGAAAGATATTAAAATTTCAAATTTTTTGGTGGGTTTGATTGACACATACATGTGATATGTACCGGCTGTACAGGAAGTGTCTCATATTTGGTTGAAATTGGCCCTTTAGTTCTTGAGTAGAGGTCAAAAATGTGAAAAGTTAACGACAACAACAGACGACGGACAAATTTTGATCAGAAAAGTTCACTTGAGCCTTTGGCGCAGGTGAGCTAAAAAAAAAATTTGACAGAGGTTTTCGGCTTATTTGTTGAAAATATTATACAATGTACTTCATTATGTTGTAATCGCGATTCTATGAAAACATCAGTGTCCGTTTTTGGTTTTAACATTTATAACAGAGTACTAGATTTACCGCTTTTTTGTAGGTAAAACATCTGGTTCAGTAATAAATAAACAAATTTGTAAAAGTTTTTAAGTACTAATGAATTCATTTAAACCTAGAAAATGTGCCTTGAAAGTTTGAATAGTTTCTGTGCACACTGAAAAAAGAAATTGCATAATAATCAAATACAGGACAGTCGGGAGTCAGGAAGACTAGATATAATCTCTAAATTGTAGAGTCCCATAACATTGCATCGTGGCATTTTGAAAACGTGGACACATGTACTGTCCCTAAAACGTTCTACTTTCCCATTTTAGCGTTTGCTCACCGTTCATTCACCGTTCTTTCAGCGTGCGTTCACCGTTCACTCCTCGTTCACAGTATTGCGTTCACCGTTCACAAAACATTCACAGTTCGCTCTTCGTTCCGTTTATTTTGCGTCACCTTGTGTTCACCTTGCGTTCACCGTTCACTTATCGTTCAGTCTTCATTGTCATTCGGAACTCCGAAGTGAAAGGACTTATCTTTTTGATGGTAAGGATTTACATGTTTTTTAATTAAATAACTTTGATATCATGTTTGAATAATAATTATTTCATTGCAATAATTATCTCAGAGTTTTTGAAATTAAAAAAAATTCACTGGTCAAGTGGAACAGTGATTTAGTGAAATTCACTGGTCCACACAAATATTCACTGGTCCATCAGCAGACACATATTCAAAAACCTGAAAACCCTTTTAATATCAGTATAGGCCTTAAAAATCAATAGGGTCAAATATCCTCGGACTGAATTAACCAGGTGTGATAGTTACAGTGGATACCCAACATGGCTGCCTACTGCAGAAAACGAAGTTCTAAATGTTGTGGGGATAATGTTTAATCTAACAATAAGGATTATTAACTCTACTTTATATTAAAAGGTGAATAATGATTAGGTTGACATATGTTGTATCGTTAATAAAGCTACAGTTAACATTTTTGTACAAATTGAATCAGCTGATTGAACAAATACAGATACGACAGAAAAAAAATTATGACTATCTGTTGTAAAAGCCCTTGAGTTTATTCTACCATACACACAGATTCAATCCTTTGAACTATCTCACAAATAAACTTAAAATTCACAGGTTAAGAGGTAAAAACTTCGGAATGGTCCATTTTTTTTTAGCGGTCCTTTGGACTGATTACATGAAGAAAATTACCGGACTTTTAAAATTTTTACCGGTTGTGCCAGTGGGACCGGTTGATTTCAAAAACTCTGTTATCTATGATATTTATATTTCTATTATTATAACTAAGCTGCTACTTGTTTCATGGAATTTCCCTGTAAAATAATACATTAAGTACCTACATGTGTGTAGAACGATGCGAAAATATTAATTTTTAAAAAGGGCTATGTACAAATGCTACACGCACGGCATCAATTTGTTGTAATTTTAAAGACGACAAATCATCAATGGATGTGTAATAATTAATCCAAGTCTTTTACAAGAAAAGAATACACAAAAAAATTATTTCTACATTAAACCGTATTTTGAATTACATGTAGGTCTGAGAATTATGAACAGTATTGCAAATTTTCAATTAATAAAATATCTGTAGACCTAATTAAATTGATAGAGTGATTTTAAATTTAGAAATGACCAACTGTTTAAATATAGTCTATTATTAGAGAAGGAAAATTCCTTCCTTCACCGTACCTAAATATATGTTTGAATATATGTTTGCCATTCAGTAAATTTAGAAATGACCAACTGTTTAAATATAGTCTTTTATTAGAGAAGGAAAATTCCTTCCTTCACCGTACCTAAACATATGTTTAAATATATGTTTGCCATTCAGTATAATTAGGAGCCTGGGGGCGGCGCCCCCCCCCCCCCCCCCCCCGGGTGCCTTTTCTCCCGAGAAAAAATTCTTAGTGAGTATTTTCAGTATATTTTAATAAATATTTAATGTGTATTGTAACGCGTACAATAAAATCAGTCTTACAACCAACATCAAACAGTAATTAAACAATTATAGTATTTTAGAATACACTTGTGCCGACAGTAGTATTTTAAATTGGTAGGGAATATGTTTCAAATTCAATTTAAAACTTAATTCTTCCAAGTACATATTCCCATTCTTTATTTATTTTTTTTCTGCAGGATTGCAAAAATCAGATCTAGAAATGATAGGGAAAATATAAAAACTCCTAGGAAATACTTAGTGACTCTTTGCCTTCGGCATGTTCGGTGAAACGCGATTTCCACACGTGGACTTCCTGTGAACCTTGTGTACTTGATGATGGAAAATAAAAGCTGTCAAATGGATCTGTTAATCTAAGAAAAATTGATTACATTTACTCCTTGGAATATTTAGGAAAAATAATTAGAATTTTTATTTGATACGACAGATATCTGAGAATTGAGGGGGTATCTCTCTCTCTCTCTCTCTCTCCCTCTCTCGTACATTTCTCTGTTCAATAAAAACTATGACAGCACATTTTTTTTTTAGTTTTGAAAATTTAATCTATTACAAATAATTTGAATGCCTTTTTCCATCATCTAATGACAGAGTATAATCACTGCCGGGAAATGAATCACGGTCGGGAAATGTTTGCAGATACATGTAGAAATTAGCTGAAATAATCATAAAAGAATACAAAAGACACACAAATATGTAATATTTTGCATTAGAATTCAAAACAAATGAGAGTTTTTATGCAATACTTCAACAGACAATTGTGAATTTAAAATAAATCCGTTATTTTACTCAGAATCGCCTTGGCACGGAAATACATGTTTGGTTGTTTCAACCGCGTACAGTGTAATTTTTCATTCTGTAAGTAGTAGTTTTATCTTCAGAAGTCCACATTATTTTTAGTGAAAAGAATAAGCATATTTACTACAGTATATAAATAGATTAATTTTATATTAAATCTACACGCGTTCGGTAACAAATACTAACACATGTTTTATGGCAATTAATACCGATTTAAAACACAGGTACATATATGTACAGGAAAAATGAATATTTATTTATTTATCTATTGTTTATTTATATTAAAGCACCTGGAAGTAGAATTATAGAAAAATAGAATAATCTCAATGCAAGGAAAAGATCGGAGGCATTCCGAATAAATTGTTCATCTTGCGTTCACCGTTTATTCACCGTTCACTTTGCGCTCGCGTTTGCGCTCCGTTTGCGTTCTGTGTTCACTCACCGTTCACTGTTCACACATCCTTCACCAAGTTGCGTTCAACGTTCGCACATTGTTCACTCACCGTTCACTCTGCATTCGTTCACCGTTTGTTCACCGTTCGTTCAGGGTACGTTCACCATTCAGGTGGGAAAGTAGAACGTTTCAGGGACTGTAGATGACAAGGACCTCAATTTTTATTTTTGAATTTACAATGTTATTCTACATGAATTATAAACAATTGTACTCTCTAAAGACTTTTAAAAGATGGAACTTAATCCTAATTTTAATAGGTAATAAATTTAATGGTCTAATTATAACAAAAATGGGACTGAAAATCTGTAAAATTACGTTTTATATAAATATTTTTTTTTCAAACAGATGTTCCATACTTCTGAATCGTCGAAAAAGTAAACATTCAGACAACATACAGATTGTCCACCAACAAAAATAATATAGGCTATTGTGTACCACGGTATCCATTCCAAATTTTTGCAATGTATTGCAATACAATGAAACTCGTGATATAATGAGAATGGAGTATATACTGGTGTCTCAGTATATCACGGTACTAAAAACTTTTGCATAAAAAGTGTAATTCCAATTTTTACTTTAACTTTCATCATATGATATTCATAAACCAAACTATGGTCTAAACTAACTTTTTAGTGTCAAATTATTTCCCAAGCTTACATTGTTTACTGCAGTCTATTGTTTGAATAAAAGCTTTTCCGACGCATGTTCCATACTTTTAAATGATCACAAAAATTTACATTCAGATGTTAGACATATAGTTTTCTCAACAAAAAGAATATGAACTGTATATCTGAGTTTTAGCTCTACTGGTCAGAGACCAGAAGAGCTTATGCGATAGTAAGGTGTCCATCGTCCGTCCGTCTGTCTGTCTGTCTGTAAACAATTTTTCAAAACGCTACTCCTCCTACAGTTTTGGTCTGATTTCAATATAACTTGGCACACAGGTAGACTACACTAAGATACATAAAATAGTGCATCGGTTTTTGATTTCGATAAACAGTGTTGCCATGGTTACTAAAAGTAGAATTTTCTTTGAAATTCCTTTAAAACGCTACTCCTCCTACAGTTTTGGTCTGATTTCAATATTACTTGGCACACAAGTAGACTACACTAAGATACATAAAATAGTGCATCGG